ATGGCGCGGCAAACAAATAGCCTTACTTCATTTTCTTTCAGTGGTTTCATCTATAAGTACATTTTAAAATATAATTATTTACTTTAACTAAATTTCTGTCATAAAAAAAAACTTTTCAGTGTCTCTTCTGCTACTCATGAAGTAGCTAAAATATTTCTCCGCCCTTCCTCCGTAGCAACTGGTACAAAAGAGATCTCTCCAGTCATCTCATGTCTAAAACAAGGGGTCGCAAAAATTTTCCTCGCCGCCTTTTTCCATGATAATTTGGACTTCAAAGAAAATTGTCATCACTTGTAATCTTGGATCGACTGACCGTTCCCTATTGGACAACAGCTCCTCCCCTGCATTCCCCTTCGTCTCCTACCCAACCACCATTGCTAGATTTATAGGAAAGCTTCAATATTTCTCTCCCAAAAGCACTGATCCTCTAGATGTATCTGAAATATTTACCGAAACGTTGGAAAGTCTTTAAATTTCTACGCGGCTTATTTCAAAAAGCACAGGGTATACACCATACAAAACTAATTTCGAATAGCTCTCTCTTCTGGGTTATACCGCCGTGCAATCCATGCAATATCAACCGACATTTCGGAGGAATATATGGCCTCCATCTTCAGGGTCGAAAATGAGAATAGATCTGCTAGCCACCTGCTTTAAAGCTGGTTTCTTGCTCGGCTTATTCTTCGACCCTAAAGAATGAGGCGACATGTTCCTCCGCAATGTCGACTGACTTTCAACGGACTAAATGGCGGCATTTCCCAGAATATAGTACTCTTCACAAATACCACTGTGAGAACCTCAAATCCTACAAAACAAGTCTCATTTGTGACAGCAGTTGCTTTTTCTAAATTCAGGGAGTATTCACGTTCTGTCTCCCCATAGCTTACCTTCGTAACCGTCCATGTTAAGATCTCCAACATTCGCAACAGCTGTACCAAACCGGGCGCCATACTGTTGGTTTCCCATTATTATTCTGTCTCCTGTTATCTCCGTAAAACTCCCCTATAAAACGAACCGAATGTAAATAAAGGAGCAACACAACGGGAACCAAAGTGAAAAATGAATGAAATAGAAATCAACATTAAAGTAAATAGGAAAGAAAAGCTTCGTGCGCCACTGAAATTTATTTCCAGGGCCCACAACCAGATAGTGGAAGACCCTGTGTTATAAATGTAGCTGAAAATATATTAAAACCGTAAGCAACTTAAGACAGTTGCCTAATTCGTTTCAAACATTTCTTGAGCCAATTATCCATTTCATACTCTAATAGCTAATAATATAATTTCCTACTTTTAATAATAATGGTGTTTACTATAGCCTTTTGAGACCGGAAATGGATTTCCTGTAGTTGTAACCCGGACAAAAAGTTGATGATAGTCAAGAATGTGTGGAATTATAAGTGCATGTTTTTACTTTTTCATTGCTAGTGGGTTGGTACTAAGTCCCTTGTACTGCGGCCACTTCTGGCCTATTGTACCAGCCCCAGATG